CGTTCTCAACCCCAGCAGAACGGCCCGTTCTGCTTCCAGAACGGCCCGTTCTCCCATCAGAACGGCCCGTTCTGCTTCTACAATTTTGGCCATACTCACTATTCCAGAATGGTCCATTTTAAAATTGAAACGACTCGTTCTGGGCCACGAATTGGGCCAAAGGCCCACAAAAAATGGGCTGTTACAGAGCTCGACTGAGCTCAACTTATTTTTAGCCTCAATAAGTAAGCGTGTTAAATTTTTTTATATGAGATCTAATTGATTTAATTTGCAATTTAAAAAATTGAAAGGACAGGATCCCACTAGACTTTTATAAGTTTTGTGGCGATCATTTTTGCTCCATTCAAAAAGCAATGGTGACAAAGAGAAACTTTGATGGAAGAATTGTTCTTGACTTACATGAATAAGTACATAATCAATATTATTATAACAAATTTACTATAAAGATATCTATAAGAGATAAATAATTTATAAGAATTGATAAAAACGTTACATCATATTATTTTGTCTAAAATAGTTTAGATGACTTTCCATTAAAAAAAAAATAGTTATATAACACTTTTTAAAGTGCTAAGGAGAAAAAAAATATTAAGTAATTTCATATTATTGACTGTCCTTTATTTCAGTCAATGTATGTATAACATGTAAATTTTTTCAATTAATAAAATTTGTCTATATTTATCATATAAAAATCAGTTGAGATCATAATAATATTAGACTAACTAATAACTTTATACTTACATAACATTAAATATTTATCATTTATATATAACTAATATTTTAGTGTATATTGTTAATACATTAAATTATAATATTTTATCTTTTGTCAAGCTTTATTTATGTTCTAGCTAAGCTATATTAGTCTAAGGCAAAGTTTTAGGATATTGGTGTAAAAACAAAAAAAAAGTATTTTATTTTATACTATGTGCAAGTTAAATATTTATTATATAATTAAAATTTAAAATAAAATATGTATACAAATGTATGTTATGTTTGAATATATAAATTATATTTTAGATTTATAATAAATAATTTATTTTGTAGTACAAGATTATTTTTATTTATTAATAATTTATTTAAAAAATTAAAATTTAATTCATAAATAATTATAATAAATAAAAATTGAATTAGATATGAAATTGAAAGAATCACTAAAAATCTCTCATTAGAGAAAAGTTTCTAAAAATTTTCTCATACAAAATAGTCGTTCTTGTTTTATATATAAAAATTAATTAAGTAATTTATTTTATATATAAATGAGGAAGGATCTATTTACTTTAGAAGTAAATCTACTTCATTCAATAACTCATGTTCTACATAAAATTTTAATGATCCAACATTTGAATTTAAAATTCTTAATACATCGATCAACTCTACAAACTTTTAAAATTTTAAAAACTATTTGATACTTCATTTCATTAATTCAAATATATAAGAGGGATCCATTGAGTAATATAGACTTGTTTCGTTCAATAATTCGTATTATACATCAAACTTTAATGATTCAATCATTAAAATTAAAGTTATTAATACATATATCAAGTCTGCAAATTTTTTAAAAATTTAAAAATTATTTAATATAAAACATGAGTTATTAAAATATATATATATATA